CAATTTTGATTATTTCAGAAGAATCAAGGTTTGGGATCTTCAAGCAGCAATGAATCCGAGATCTCCGCCAGATAGTATATGCTTATTAACTTTAGTGGTAAGTGACTTATGTACATTATAAAACTTGTTGGTAAAACATCTACCGTGTGTCCCTACACATGGAGCGAAATGACCAGTTTACCGATGGTGATTCTGTAGACTGAAACTAAAATTGAAATTTAACTATTAATGAATCTAGATGGATAGTTTTGCTTGATGTGTGATCATATTATGTCTCAGCGACAGTATTGGCTAACTATTGAATAAAATCAAGGAAACTTTTGTATCATGATATATTTTAACTTCAGGAACACACGGGTCGAGTATTTCGTCTGCAATTTGATGAATTTCAAATAGTATCTTCTTCTCACGATGACACGATACTTATTTGGGATTTTCTTGAACCGCAGCCTGAATCTCATGCATTAGATGGAACACTTCAGCAGACTACAGGATCTGCTGCTGTGCCAGGTGCGGACAATGCAGTAGAAGCACCAAACGTTGATGAAGCACCTCAGATTGACCAACAGAATCTGGAGGATTCTGAAAACGGTAAATTTCAAGAACTGCGTTTTATAAGGATATTCCTAGACTGATGTTTTATTATTTAATGCCGATTACGGCAGCTGTTGGTATCACTTTTATTTTCTTATTTCAGACGACGATGTAGACGACGTGATGCGACAACGACAAGTGCCGATGGAAATAGTAGAACTTGGTGTTGCAAATGAAAGGGATAGGTTCGTTTTAAAATTGTCGCTCGAAAGTTAGTAAGTAGCTACAGAATGAAAAAGAACGTACTTTTTCAATTTCAGTGCTATTTGTAGGTTCACTCTTTGGTCCTGCCAAAATTTAAGTCATGTTTTGATAGTTGCAAGATTAACTTACATTATCTAATATTTTTTTTTCTAGGGAGGATAACAGTCCATCAGAAAATGATGGAGAATATGAACGGAGGCATCGTGACGCTGACGCTAGGAATTAATTATATGAAACTTTGTCTAATTTTGTTTTGAACTGACATATGCTTGTAGTTTCTAATGAGTTTTGTTTCAATTTTTAAATCATTAAATGAATTATTTTAAAATTCAACAGTGATGTCATTTATTTGATAATTTTTTTATATCTTTCATTTCATAGGATATGATGCATGTATATGTCAGGGAAATGAATTTTCTTAGTACTCTAAGCATTGGACGAAATACTGGCAAGAGCTATGAGCACTGAATTTAATCTTTTGTAAAATATTCGTTTTTACTCAAAAATTTGGAGTTATTTCTAGAATTTGGATAACTTTTAGGCTACTGCAATGATTATTTCTAAATACTTCTTTGTGGAATATATCCTTCGTTTGATAAGTATAGTCATAGCAGTAGCCGGTTGGTTTCAAACCTCATTGCATGTCATACTATGATCTAAATTAAGTCCTAGTTTACTTCATTCGTTTACTTCATGAACTATATGGCTCGAAAATTTTCGCCCACTACTTTAATTTCATTCCGTTATATCCACTCAATGCATAATTCACTTCATCAATTTCTCCATATAAGATAACCGTTAAAAACATTCCTACCCTACATATTCACAAATTCTTTCACAACCATAGAATGATTGCATCGAGCTTAAGGTATCTGCTAGAAAAGCTTGTCGTAACAATGTTTTGTTTTATGCTGTGATGTTTTTTTTTTTTTTGTTCCTTCCATCGATGTTTTTGTTCACTTGATGAATCTTTTCGAACTAGTAGGTTATGTATTGATTAATTACAGTGATTGTGAGTAGCCACATTAAAGTGAAAAAATTGAAATTTTAAGACAAAAGATTTTAAAAGTTCAATTTCTTAGTTCTTTGAAATTTTTGGTTCATGGTTATTTTAACGAATCGTTTGCTGATAGCCAAATTTTGTAATTTTTACCAAAAGAACTGTAATTTACCTGTTATAAGCCGCTCGTGACAAAATTGTGCATATTCTTCTGTATTATAATTAGGTTGTATCTGTCTTAGTATCAATTTCTTTTTCATTGCCAATGAAATGAGACTTAAGCATTCTTAAGTTCTTGCGGGAATCATTTAAATGTGTTTAAATGGAATCTTTTGAATGTGTCATCGAATCCATTTTGGGTATGGGTAATTCCTCCTTTGCATGTATTTTTCTTTAACTTTTAATTTTGGATATTTTGCAAAACTCTACAAATTTTATAAAACTAACCTCCGATTCACATATACGGGTTTCCACAAAATATTGCTGTCATTGAAACTGCATTCTTGTTCATGTTTTATGATATCAAATGGTCAATCTTGTGTTTATTTTTATGAAATTGAATAAAAGTATATGTATCTGACGTATGCCGTGTAGACTGAGGTACATATCGACATTGTAAGGCACAGATTTGTTATTTGTTCGTTTCTCTCGACCTCGAATCTCGAATGAAGTTCGACGAAAAGATCTTTGTTCATGTATATTTTCAGCTCTTAGGTTCATTAGAAATTTCAAAACGATGGTAAATTTTATCAACAAAAGCATCTTTTTGTTTTATTCTGTTTAATAGCGATACTTCAAAATTAAAGGTATCAACTGGTTTGTTTCACCATTGCTCATTGAGCGGTGACAAGATGTGAGTTCCCCTCATGAAATGTGACATTGTTGGGTATCTACGCGATATTGGAACATCTACTTGAACATATAGTTAAGGATATCAGTATTAAGAAAAATCACAAATCCGGTGGCACCGTATCTTTAACGAGTATAAGCTCATTGAAATATTTCAATCGATAGCATATGTAATGATGACAAGTACTTAATTCATCAAAATATCTTCCCTATAATGGTTATTGTTATAGGTCATGCTAACAACGATTTTAGATATGGGTCAATATGTACATGATGTATGCCATCATTGAATGGGCATCGATCGGTGGATACATTAATCGACGAACCGGTCACAGTAGTTTGGAAAAGGAGGGAAGAGAAATGGACAGAGATGCTCCTTGCCTGTGTGCCATTCTAACTCGATTACTGGGATTGTTGCACCTGCTGCCATCCATTTCTTTTCCCTTAACAACACTTCGGATGATTTGTTCTTGAAGAGGACTAGAGTGGAAAAGAATATATGAACGTGAATAAAGACTAACGGAGAAGAAGAGAAGGATACCAAAATATAGCAGTATTATATCCAATAACAAAACACAGCTGTTCCTGAATCTAATTGACATCATCTCTTGCATAGAGAGAGAGAGAGAGAGAGAGAGGGAGAGAGAGAGAAAAATTGATTTGAGATCGACCTTTCTAGTTAGTTATACATTTTTCCTTAACCTCATTCTATTTCTCCAAAATTTTTTTGGCGCCGATGAGTGTGGGAATGACCTTGATAGCATAAAGTATCTGTTTGTTGGAAATATGACCAAAGGTCACATGATTGCTAGCTATTTTTGATGTATAAGTTCATTGAGCGGGAAGAACATTCCTATATAATTCGATGATCTTGGGTATTATTTATTGGTGCTACATTCTTTCACCATCTTTTTCCACAATTCTGTTCCATATGATTCTAGTGTTTCAGTATTTATTTTTCAGCTATGCATATGTCACATAATTCACGATCGAATTTTTGTAAACCCGAATCCTTGCATCATTATTGGTTTGCACTTTTGCGTCATTCTCTTACATTATTAAGATATGGCTATCGGATGATATCGATTTTGCTTGGATCTCGGGGGTGATTGGCAGTGTTATTACCGTAATCAATATATGACTAACCTTCTCATTATTGGTAACTAATTTGAATGATTCACCGTGTATGTCTTAATGCTAGTATCTAAAAGAATTTAATATACGAACACTAAGTATGCTTCAAACTGCAGCCTTTTATGCGAATTTATTTATCTCATGTATTTGGTAAATAGGACTCAGCAAAATAGTGTATCTTCAAATCACATCAATGTTGGTTAGGATTTATGTTAAATGTTAGATATCCAAAAATGGAGCACTTCTCTCACCAACTATTTGCTACAGCTATGTGAAGAAAAAACCTGTTGTTGTTAGCTCTCAATTCCGGACCGCTTTTTGTCCTTCGATTATCGGTGCATTCTAGAACTCCTATGGTGGATGCCTTCTTCCTTTTATTCCAGTGAGATCGAATTGCTTTTGCGGTTAGGAACGCTTTTAGAGTGGATGTTGGAGAACATTTGGAAGGCTATATATTATTCTATATTAGGATGATCTGAAATGTTTTCTGACCACAAGAGGAAGGAAGGAAGAGAGGGAGGAAGATCGATTTATATGAAGAATCTTCAAGCTTTGTAATAATTGACGTTAAAAGGGATGAGATAGAGAAGCAAGCAGCATTTCGAGATGCGAAGTGAGCGCTGTGCCAGTCGAGCTTCACTTCCATTCATATGCATGACTTGACCGAGGCAGGCATCGTCTCATGCCTTTCATAGAGAAGCAAGCATATGGCAAGTTGTCGAGAATTTGCACATTTCCTTTTCTTTTGTTTTAACTGCTTATTTCTGAAGGGTCCGAAAGAGAGGAGGAGAAGAAAAATAGGAAGAGTGTTATGTTTATTTTGTGGTGTTATTGTTGAGTAGAAGTTCTATAAAGGCAGGCAGGGCAGAACTTCTGAAAGTAAATTGCGAAGATACAATGAATGGTCGTCGGTGGACGCGGAAGAAGACGGAACGTGAGGCAGCATAACAGTGCTCACATTTGCGAGTGACTTCATGAGAGATGCATATATCATCATCATCATCATCATCTCACTCTCCCTATGCTACTCCAGGTATTATTACGACTTATGCACTAGTGGCACTATTGTGCGGAATTGTTTTGAAGGGTGAAGGAGAGGGTAGAGGTGATGAGCGACACGATGCTATCTTCCAGAAGTCCAACTGATAGGATAGTGAAAATGAGATGTTGCTGCTAAGCATAGATGAACTGCTGTGCAGCGGGCAGAGGAATGGCCAAACTAGGGAGAGGAATCTATTGCGGGATGGCTAGGGAGCTGCACAATGACAGATAGGTTCCGAATTGTGTTGACGAGTGGAACGTTGAATATAGCAGCAACAGCAGCAAGAGCAGGAGCAACACAATACACTTCTTGATATGCACCACGCACGATTTCTAACACTACCTTTTTCTTTTTTTCTCTCCCTCTCTTTTTCTCTCTCTTTTCTCTCTGAGGACAAATTTTCTCTTGTGCTGGTGTTTGCTGGTACGTGCTGTGTTGCGCTCTGCAGAGCGATCCATTAGTGTTTGCCTATCCTGGGGCATGTTTCCTGCATGCCTGTCTCCTTTCTCACTGTTTATGCTTAGGCCATCTCTTCGAGCGTACGATTCGGTTGTTCTCATCTCATCAGTTAGACTGCCATTTGAGATGATCGGATGGTCCATGTTAGTACTTATTCCTCGTATTTATTGCTTGTTTACTGTGGAGCACATCGCTCGAGAGATCAATTGTTACCGGGTATATCTAATATCGAACTCATCATAATATCTCGGGAAGAGTCATATATTCATAAACTTGGATTACACAGTTCCTGTGTAACCACGATGTTATACTGTTGCTAGTGTTGACGTTTCATGTATCATGCTTGTATAAAGTGTATGTAAGTGATAAGCACTCTCTTTTTATATCACCGCTACTCATAAATTCTGGATTGTCCTACATTTATTACACTTTTATCTAATCAAATGCTGTAATATTTTGTCATCGATTTACAGATCATTCATTTATTCAGTAGTGTAGCATATGTGACCTGAGTTGTTTGTTGCAGATCGCACTTATAGTTTCTTTGTATCACTGCTCCATGTATGACCGTTGATGGGACGGTTAAGCTTTTGTTGGAAATGTTACATTGAATAGATGCATGCGGTTTTATTGGTTTTATTATAGCTTGATTAGACTTTTCTTTCTTATACAAAATTAATAAGTGATTTTTATCATCATTAAAATTGAGCGCCATAATATGTCATAATTCTGTAAATCTAATACACTTTGTTTCTGATCAAAGATCATTTTTTGTACATTGGTTTTTACTATTTGACGCTAAGCCACTTATTATAAGTGGACTCAGCTCGCATCACCGAATTTGATTCGGTTTTTATCTTTCAGCCCTCTAGCGATTTCATAAACTTCATGGTAACATACGATCTGTTAGTGTTACAAATTATTGAAATGTATTATGACTGTAAATCAAATTTCTAAGGCATTTAAAAGATGCATAATCGGCCATATTCTCTGCTGATGTGCACTACCGCTGTTAGCAATATCTTTTCGGGGTTTCTTTCTGCCGATAATTTTGTGGATAATTTGGAATATGAATTGAGCTTGCAGCGTTAGGGCATTGTTAATGCTGATGATTTTTATGGTCAATTAAATTATTTTGTTTAATTCGAGGTGTTTGAAGTATTTTTTCTCAAAATCACTTACAAAGATATTGCATTATCGTTAGGATAATTCATAGTTTAGCGTAATGACAGTTTCTTCAATTTCTGGACAGGGACGACTATTTTTAGACCTTCGATTGAACATTAGGCGTGAATGTAGCTATCTTAGTCTGTGCTTCTATGAAAAAGAAAGGTTTTTAACCATCTCATAAATATCTCCTAATGTTAAGGACCTAAATTTCTTGTGTTATATGAAACTTATTTAGCAATAGTGATTAGGCTTTATGTTTTATTTCTGATCTAACTTCGCCGCTTATGAAAGAAATATATTTTCGTGGACGCGACGTGGGTTTGATTTTATATTGTATGAGCATCATTAATAAAACATATGTATGTGCAGGAACTAACCACATTCATTAACGAGAGGTCGCAGGGAAGTAAAAAGGAAGTGGCCTCATGTGGGCTCCGGTAGATAGTACACAAGCTGAGACAGCTTCGCTGAATTCGTGGAGCATCGAACAACAGCAGGTGATTCTTGCAAGTGATTTCAAGGGAAAGACATAGTTTTGAAAGTGTGACCACTTTCAACAACTATGTTCTTCCCCGAAAGGAAAACATGTAATTGTTGCAATTGATTTCGAAGAGAAGACAGGCCGGATCTACCAAATGATTATAACTAATCTTTCATAGCTATTCCTTTGTAGGATATTTTATTATGTTGATTAAAATCACTTAATAAACATGCTGGGCTTATGGTTGTTTGAAGGGCGTTCTTTGCAGAATCGTTGGGGTGGTTCTAGTGATTACAGTAATAATGCAGCATTTGATGAACACATGCGATCAATCGTACCACCAGCTTTTCGTAATAGTAACGCGAAAATTGTGTGGCAAGAGCCAAAATCACTAGGTAAAATTTCATTTTATTACTTTAATTTTTCTCTTATTTGAAGGCAATATGGAACTGGAATATTAAAAAGAGATGATATTTATTAGCTTCATATTTTTTTATTACATATTTTTCAGAAGCAAACATCAATGAAGCTTTGGGTATCTGGCAGGCAACGCCTCTCAACCAGTTTTCCATAGAACAGGAACCGTTAGGTGGTTTGTTTCAGTGTAGTTTTTACTTCCGATTTTGTGCAGTAAGCCAGATTTGATCCTGCCTTTATCGAAATTTAGTTTTCCTAAATATTGATGATAAACTAGTGGATGGAATGCAGAGGATGACGTGACAATCTGTTCTCTTTTGTTTGTTATTTGTTCAGTTTCAAATAATGGAGTATCGTGGTAGCTGTACTCCTAGTATCATGGTTTGAATACATTTGGACAGGAATACTGTATCAGGTGTTCTTACCTTTTCATTTTGCTTGACTTCAAAAATTATGACACCATATTAATTGTAGGAACTAGCCATTTTCCTCCATCTTTTGCTGGTTGTGGTGCGGCAAATAGTTGGTCGCAACCTGAAATTGGTTAGTACTTCGTTCTGAGGCTTGTAGTGACATTTTATTTACGTCTAATTAAACTTTCATTTACCGCTTGAGTCAGCCAAATGTTCTCATTGTTCCTCGGATATTTTTTTGGGAACATTGCAGAACAGCGAAATTGGGATATGTCGAATCAATCACAAGCAGTACGGACAGCAGTACCATTTTGTGGTGGTTTAACGCAGAATAAAATATGGCCAAATGAAGAGCAAGTTTGGGGGGGCACGCAGCGTCCTCCAGTATTTTCAACAGCTCCTCCACCGCCTGCTTATGCTGCAAGTAAGTACTTACAATAATGTGATAGTGTGTTCGTTATCCAATTTGATAGAAAGAATGCATCGTGTGTTGAATGGAAATAATTATTTCTGATATATATATATAGATTGGCAGCAAAATGCACCGCGTGGTAATGTTTTTCCTCTGCCAACACGATTCAGCGGTCCACCATTCGAAAATAATGCTGTGATGGGAAATTGGGTGCAGCGTCCGATAAATGAGTCAGTACAGCCACCAGTGCCACCATCCACTATTCCACCTCCTCAAAGAAGTCGGCTGCAAAATGTTTGGGGTGGCACACCGGCTGTAAATAACACAGTTAATGGAATGTATCTTCCGCCACCTACTGTCGAATATAATGTAAGATTTCGGTCTTCCTTATTCTCTTCAAATCATTTTCTAATTAGGAAATTACGATCATTTACTTTTGTAAAGTATAATCGGAGACTGATTGTAGTTATTAAGTAAAAATGTTTCATGGAGTGTCCTTCTGGAGTGCTATGTTGTTTTAGAAGCACCGAATTTTAAAGCATTTTTTGAGTTTATGCCGATAACTATAAATTGTTTGGTTGATTCAAATTTGATGATTATTAGGATAGAAATCAGTATCATAAAATTAAAAAAGAAATACTTTTAGAATTGATTTCATCATTTTAGATACCAAATGGATTGACTCAGTGGAATCCTTCAACAGGCAGCAGTGGCGCGGCAGTGACGGCAGTACCTGTTGTACCAAAACCACAGTTTACTCAAAACTTTGTGAATCGTTCTCCACCTCCTCCCAGCACTTTCAATTCGTATTCACAAGTCTCTAAGTCCGATTCGGTTTGTCATTTTTTTTTTAATCTTTAAATGATACTTTTACACTCTATTGTGATCTGCTTGTGCCTTGCTCTAGATTTTAAGTGGGATCATTTCTACGATTTGCAGTTTATGGGTGAGAATGCTGTCTGGCAGGATCCTGAAGGTGAAGTACGCAAATGGCAACGAGACACTGGTACTGCCGCATGGGGTGATCCTGAGAAACAGCAGAGTTTGTTTCTTTTTTTTTTCACTGAATATACATGCTGTATTCATTGATGAAACTGAGTCTTTTAACGGTCCAAAATTTATTTCAGAAGAAATCAGACGATGGATTATACCGGTCGGAAAAGAATATGACAACTCAGAAAACGAGAACGGTGAATTTTTGCTTTCATCACTATCCTCTGTTTCAGTACAGTTTGGAATATTTCTTGTATCTTAATTGATTATTCTACTCACATACAAAGAAATATATTTTATCTTAGGCGGCCGCGTAGTTATTCCCCTTGGTTGGGGTGACCTTCCCTCAAAATCGTCGAATAATAACGCTGCATCAATTTCGACAACTTCTCTGCCATCGTGGCCAACTAAAAGCGCGCAAGTAAGCACCGTAACGGCTCCATCTTCAGGTTTGTCACATTTCTGGTTGCTCATGCTGTGACAGGTCTTTTCGGGCTAGCACTGTATGCTTTTTTTGGATGCATTAGAAAGTTGTGTTGTCTAACTTCCTGAGGATTTGATAGTTTGAAGATCAACTTGCGCATCAAACATTTCAAATTGCAATTGAGCCTAAATGATCTTAATTTGAAACTATTCGTTTAGGATGGGGCAACCGTTCGGCTTCAGGAACTGCGAAATCAACAGCCATTCCAACTCTTTGGGAAATTCTTTCAGAACATCAGCCTTCATCTCTAGAGAGTGGTTGGATACCACCGGATGGTTCGAGCAGTGCAGCTATGCCTGCTTCAACGCAACAAATAGTTGAACAGCTGCGTCAGGCTGTTGCGAAAGGTTTACTATGGATTAAGGCATGAAGACAATGAGAATGAGATCATAATTTGATATTATTAAAATAAAATAATTGCAGGGTTGATTGATGTTTCACTTCTCAGTAAACCACTTCCAAATGAGGCACTCTCAGAGATGCGCACTCTTCTCAGTCGCATCCCGGTATTGGAGCAAGCAGAAAATGATTTAGCTCGTCTCATGAACGCCGTTAAGATTGTAAGCTTGTTTTATTAGCTTAACACAATTAGAGCATATTGATGGTTTTGCGTTTCATCATGAATTTTGAGAATAACGATCCTGAAGATGGAAGCGGGAGAATGGATACACCGACGGATCTCATGACATCAGAGCAACGGTCAGAATACAACAGACTAGTAATCGAAATTGCTGCGACTAAAACGGAAATTTTAACAATTCGTGAGCGTATACGTGGGAACTCCGATGCAGTTGGTGTAAGGGTAGGTCTTTTGCCGAGGTATTCACTTATAGTATTAATTTAGCATATTTCTCACAATATAAGTGAGTACTTTTGCCAAAGTATTTACTTACATTGCGGAAAACATGTCAAAATAGAGTGATTATAGTTTTTATTTGAAATCTTCAAACATCTCGAATGTATAATTTGATATTTGTTATGCTTCATTCTATCTTCACTTCTCCGTACTTCTACAGAAAAGATAGAATGAAGCATACGATTCGTACGAGTTCTTTGAAGTTTAATAATGATGTCCAAATACGAAAGCGCAATAAGATAGGAGGACGAGTAAATGGAGCGCGAAATAGTGATAACATAATTTAGAATATGGAAATTGGAGGTAGCGAATTGGATTGTTAGAAGATTCCTCTAAATGATTTGCTTTATAATCAAAAATCATAAAGTAATAAAATTAAAGATTGAAGGGATTTTTGCAGCCAGCGACGAGTTTAGCTGAAACTCAACGAATACAACCACAGCAACCGCAACCAGCTGTAACAACGACAACGTCTCCTCGTTTCGGTGACAGTATTTTGGATGTTGCTGTACGTGTTGAACAACAGAAACTGTTTTCAATGTAATAGTAGATGTGAAATACTGACTAGTCAGCAAGGCACGCATGCATCGCTATACCTGCCTTTTTCACAACTTCTCATCTTTAATGTTTTTCACCATGAAATTTTCAACGGAATTCAACCTCACGGTGCGTGTGCAGCTCAATTCATGCGTAATGGAACTTATGTTTTCATTATTGTTGTGTTAATTCTAAGTTATCATATACATAATGCTATTTCTCATTCAACGATTTCTCATTTTTTTTGATTTAGATGAATGCGCGCAAATCCTTTTTTGCTTCCTATATTTCCTTTAAACGAATTGCACCTAGCACCTCCGTCATATCGTGCATTATTATAATGACTTACAACCATTCCTTTATGCTACATCTAGTGAATTTTGAAAAAAATTGTTGGCTAGGGTAGGAGATGAGGCAGCTTTAGTGCAGAAAATATTTGTGTTATTGATCTTGGTACTGATACTGATGGTAGTGATGGTGTAGTTGCAAGAGTATATGCAGCAAATAAGTTCTTATTTTCCAGGATAAAGGTACGTGGAATAATTTTATTTCTAATGGATTCATTTTTAGTAATATGAAAAGTAATCTAAACATTCTTCGTGTCTTTCCCTTCAGTTCTCATGGGTCATTTATGTCGATGTCTTGATTGATTCTTGTTATATTACATCAAATTATCTATTTCTTACGTGTTTTTCTTGTCATTTAATTTGATCATTTAATTAGGATAAGCGCGTTAGTTGTATCGTGATAATTTCTTCCTTTTTTCTCCATTTTATGCCCTTCATTTCGTATAATTTGTAGTTCAGTTGATCAATTGTTGATATTTTCAAACTCTTGCATATTTTTAATTCCAAGCTCATTGGCGCACTATGTGTAGCTACTGTGAAATTGTTTGTTGAGAGGAGTTTTTGGAGGGATTTTATTATATGATGATGATTTATTGATTGAGATTTATTCATGTTTGGTTTTTCCTCCTTCCCTTTCCTCAATCTTTTGTCTTAAATTTCCAGAAGCTCCACATACGTTTCCATTCATTCTGCTCAGCTAAACTTCACTCGGAATGTGAGGATGTATTTCTGTGCATTGTCGAGGTATGTAATATGTATATGTCAGGGAGACAAGGTCGGTTCGGTTACCTGCACTTGTAAATTTTTTGGAAAGACATAATTTTGCCTTTCTCATTGTTCTCTGGATGTCAACTAGTAGCTAATTTATGATCATGGCTTTCATATATTAACTTAATGTTCAGAGCAAGAGCTCTTTAATGAGCGAAGTTTACTGACTGAACCGAATCTTTTCATGTCATCTGTTTCATATGCATTATAGAAGTTGTCCGTCAATATTTTTTTGGTTGAGCTATTTGCTGCAACAGTTGCTCATAGCATAAATCTATCTATACGTTCAGTATATATTGTGCCCATTGCGGTACAATAGCCTCCACTTGCTGCATTCATTATAGGGTCATTAATGTTTTGGTATTTTATAATTATTTACCCATTAATAGCTTTGTCAGAAATCTTTCCTAATATTTGTATGTCTTCTGCATAAGTAACTGATAATCCTCCCCTCTTTACACTGTACTGTCACTTCATAAAGCATTTCATGTATTTTCCTTTTTTTTTATTTAAACTTTAAATTTTTTGGGGATGTTGAATATTCACAAGTCGATACCAAATGCTTACTCTCAATATTTATTCCATGCTCGCATGTACGGTAGCTTTCGTACGATCAGTCGCTGGTGTTGAAGTATCTCAAGTTTCAACCATATATTAATAACCTCATTATAAGGATTCCTGATATTTTAAAGTATATTGTTTTAAAGATTCCTCACAAAAAGAGGATTGTAGACAGCGAGACTGGTCCGACTACTGACCACTGAAAGCTACTGTTCTGTGGATGCCTCGCATTTCGATGTTTTTTTTCCGAGGAAAATATCGGTTCTCGTTATTTCGGGTATTTTTAGTCGTTTGCGCCGTTTTTTATTCTCAGCGTACAATTAATTTAATTCTTTCTTTTCTATTTTGTTTGGTTATATTGTTTATTATTGTGTGTTTTTATATCACTAACCATTAATTGATCAACTAAGCATTAATTGCTCTTATCCTGTCAGTTGTAATTAGCAAAAACAACTCCATCAGCAAGTGCTCACTGTTGCTTCGCCATTATTAACATTATTATTATCATTACTATTATTAATTAATTGCCGGACATCTTTTCTCATTGTAACTTTATTCTTTTCCATGTACTATCCTTATTTTTTTCAGTCGTTTCATTGCAGGTTGTTTGTCATCTTTTTCTCTTCCTTTTACATACAAAAGAAAAAAGTTGCAAATGATCTCGCTTCTGTGCTTCCTCGGGGTTTCGTCCATGTCAAATTTTCGCAGGTAGGTGCAATACTCTGCAGCTCATTGGGTATTGTATGCGTCCATTGGTTGTTTCATTGAACTTAATTGATTCTGTTTTAGAATTAAGCCCGAGACTTAATGAGATTATATCACCTTTTCGTTTGTTTTAGTTGCCAGGAATTCGGAAAAATTATGGTAGGTAGTTGTATCTGTTTCGATAAATCACACGAACTTTTATGGTTGGAGTTTTTTTTTGAAATCATTTAAGCCTTTTTGGACCTACTTCCCATTTTGGAGGCCGCCTTCTCTGCTCTTTGTTTTTTCTCAGGTCACTTTTTCACGGACTTAAAAAAATACAATTTACTGATGCAGATGCTGCTGTTATTATTTTCCCATAGTCAATAATATATTAAATATGTATAAGAGTGAATGGTTTCATTTTAATAGTTGTTAACCCTTCTTGGTCTCGAGCTTCTCCATCTGTACAGTACCTTATCACTTTGATTGTACCACCATCAGCCAATTGTATTCTTAATATTATAATCTGAAATAACAATTTTAAAATCCTAAGGAGCGCGAATTTTGGTAAAATTCAGGAGGTCATTTTTCATCACTCGTTCGCTCTCTCATTATTAAAACCAAATACTGTACGAGTATATAATTATATATGAATGTGTGTGGTCTTCTGAGATTCTCTTGAAAATGATGCTCTCTTGCTGTCTGTGATGTGTTGCCCTCCTCAATTGTTTTTGAGTCTTTAAAATAAAGGGAAATTTCTTTTTTGTTGTTTATCGCATTTCTTTGGCCAAAGTTTAGTTGGTTGTTTGATTGTTCTTTGTTTGTCCGGAATACTTTGTGAGAAAGATAATCACCATGCTTCCTCCAATCAATTTTAAGCCATGATTATGGCTGTGAATCGGACTTTCAAAAGTTGCGATGGTCCAGTATTGATCGCATCTACTTACAGTAAACAAAAATCACATTGGTTCTACAATGAATCAGAAAAGGGTCAAAAATGGTGCTTGTAATATTGGTGCTAATAACATTGAAGCCAGTATTTGAATTGATTGTTCCGAAACTAGCAGCTAACTTAAGATTCATATTTCTTGGTCTCTAAGATAATGAAAAAAAAACGGTGGTATATTTCATATCTACTGAAAGATGAGGAATGATATTTGAATATGATCAATGGATAGGAGTTTTCCAAATTTCAGAAAATTATTATGGTATTACAGAAGGAGTTGAAATGGACAATGTTTGCCCATTTATTTTGTTAATAGCATATCTGTCACCTTATTATCATTATTATTATAAGATTTGAAGAAGTGAACGGAAGAGAGCGAAGGAGATAGGATATGAA